AGAGTGAAACTAATAAGCACTTTTTTTTAAAAAAATTTTTGGAAAAATGCTAAAAACAATAATTGTTCTAGACTCTTCCACTTCAATTTAATTGTAATTTAATTATACAGCGACAATTACGTTATATGAATACTAAATTAAATATTTCATTGAAAGATATACAAAAAAAAACTGCTGTTTTCGCATTTTGAGATTAAATAGAAAAAAATAAAATTACTATCTATGAATTACACGAAAATAATGTATTTCTTTAATTTGAAAGATTTAAAAATTAAGATTTGTATTTTTATCCGAGGAAATACTTGAAAAATGATTGACTTCAATGCAATATTTAACCTTTAGTGAAATAAAAAGGCCGATGTTCGCTAGTTTCAGTTAATTTTTCTTTTTCTAGTAAAACAAAATTTTTCTAAATGTAAAAAATTACAATAAATTAGAATGTATTTGGAACAATTATATTTAATTAAAGTTTGCACCTACAATAGTTTCGAATTCTAAAATAAAACTGTATAACCTAATTAACAAGAAAGTAGAGAAAAATAAAAACGTATTATGTATGTATTTGAGAAATTGAAATTAACAGATTAATATTCAAAAATATTATGATATAAAACTTGGATTAAAACTATTAAGTTAATTAAACAAAGTAAAAGCTTTATTCGAAGATATTGCCATATTACCGTATTTATTTATTTATTTAAAATTTCAGTACTGTTATTTTAATAGTTTCTAAGATATGACTATAACAACTATTGAATTTTTTGGCAACTACTACAAGGAATCAAGAAATTTTAATGATATCATACATAACATCCCAATTAGTTTAAATTTCTATATTAAAGCCCTATAATAATTCCCGAGGTAATGCTAAATAGCTCTCGAAGTTGTATAACAGCTACCGTTCGTGACTAGCATTCATGATATCTCAACAGCTTTTACACAAAATAGTAGGCATACTACCTTTTTTGTTTATTTTGTATATTTCAATATTGTACCTTAAGTACTTCCTGAGTAATAGCCAAATAACTATTGAAGTTGTATGTCATCTACCACAAGGATTTAAGAAATTTCAATAATTTTTATCACACTTTACAGTCCTACTAATATATTTGCTTATGCAAAATTTCGATATTATATCTAGCTACAATAATTTCTGAGATAAGGCCAAATAACTTTCCAAGTTTTATGGGTCCTGACCAAGAATGGACCAAGCAATTTCAACGACTTTTATCAATCACCTTGGTCCCACTAATACATTCGCCTGAGTGAAATTTCAATACCATAGCTGCTATAATTTCTGAAATATAGTCAAATAAATTTAGAAGTTGTATGGCAGTACATGGTTAAAGCGACAGACATAGTTAAATCAACTCAGAATTCGTCGCTGATCAAAAACATACACTTATGTCCATGCTTCAGACCATTCTTATCTTTGCAAATGGGAAGGAAAATTAACTATACCCTTCGAATATACGTTCGTACGGGTATAATCAATTTCACCATTTACATATCTGTCGTGTTTATAGGAACAACATAACTGCATTTTGAAAAATGTTCAAAAATAAGTATTTTTGCTTTTTTTTTTGTTTTCCAATAAATTTTTTAACCAAAAAGATTCAAAAGATTTTGTACCTTTTCTTTGATTCTTCCATGATAAGTTGTTATGTTTGTTACAAAAAGTTTTTGAAATAACAAAATAAATGCAGTTGTACACTTCTGTTATATTAAAAAAACGTAATATTTTACAATTTAAATAAAATTTTTAAATAGTTTTTCCATTTTAAAGGGCGAAAAATTTTAAGTAATTTAAATAATTTTGCAGCTATGTCGTTCTTTAAAAAAACCGCAGATATTTATATATGTAATATTATAAACATATTTGTGTTAGCCTCAACTTGTGGCATTAAGCACGAAATAAAACAATCGAGCAGTTTTCTGAATGGTTGCTTTTAAACTATTTTAACCGGTCGCATTGCAATACGATACACATACTGAGCATTTAAACGAAATGCGTTTCTCAGCGTTGAAGAAATGAAAAAAGATCTAGGGTGCTGTAAATCTAAAAAAAATCTCTATCGGTTAATTAGTTTTTCATACAAATCTTACATTCAAATTTCGTTCATATATATTTGTGTCAGTGTCATAATTGTTTGCAGTTTTATATTTCTCTTTTTATTGACAGAACAAATTTGTCAGAATTTTTTAACGTAACGAAAATAACTGGACATTTTTAATTATACGAAATAATTAAAATTTCACAGTTCTCTCCTTTGTAGTTTATTGCGTGTTTAATACAGAAGAAGCATTATCACGCATATTACAAGTTTTTTTAAATACACATCTTTGTAACCTAATAAATGCACATATATTAAATACATAATGGACGGATTAAAATTGATTCAATGAATTTTTTTGTTCATATACATATGTACATTCAATATTTAACAATATCACTTTAGAAAAAAAATAATTTCACAAGTACTTCGATAAAATAAAATAAACTATTAGGAAGACAACGAATTCAGTAAAGTAAATATGTATGTAGTATCATAAATATGTCTTATAATACACATGGAATGAATTATTGTTCATTTTCAAATATGCTAATTAAATCTCATAACCAAATAATACTCTACCTCAATTAATATTAAAAAAAAAGTTGTATGAGATCCTATACTTCCTGTCACACTTATAAATTGTGGGATTTTTCAAAACCACTTCACTCATTGAAACTCTCTACTTAAAATTTTAATGTAAATGACATTTTTAAAATAATCAGTTTATTTACTTAATTACTATGTAAAGTCTTTTAGAATATTAAAAACTTACTATGAAATTTTAGCCTTAACAAATAATACAAACCGTTTTATAATTTTTTTCAAAAACTTTTATATATACATATGTACTTGCATGCACGTTACGAAAAATCAATTTTCATTTTTAATGTCTTGAAAATTTTACATCTTATTGTTAAAACAATAAAGTAATAAAATATGCTAAAATGAACTCGATAAAACATTTTAATAATGATGAATTTTTGAGTACCATTAGTAAAATAAAAATTCTTATGAGGGACATACATTAGCATGAAATATTCAAATAATGCTGTTTTTATTGAAATTTTTATTTTGTAAATTTATCAAAAATTTACGTACATGCTGAAATTATCTTAAAGAGAATCAAAATTCTGACACCGAACAATTTAATAATTTAATATTCTGTGTATGCACAACAAATGACTAATTGTAGATATTTTTAAACATACCAAATTGATAGGCAAAAAATAATCAATGATCCATTACTAAAAAAAAATGTACACATGTTTTTTTAAACATTAATCTAATAAAAAAATAAATTAAAGCGTTATGTTCATATAAGTTAAGTCCGTTAAGAGTCATTTACTTCATAGACTTGATTAGTTTAAATTTGAAAAAAAAAATGTAATAAAACAAACCCATTAAATTTATAAATTACCTGCGATATGGCAGTTAAAAAAATTCGAATATCATTTGAAAACTCATGCATATAAAGAATGCTGATGATACAAACAATAAATAAAAAATAATTAAACGCGATTTTCCAAAATTCAAACATGAAATATAAAAAAACAAAAATAAAATATATATGTATGTAGACGAAGCAATTCAATATTATGTAAAAATTTTTATAACGAAACAAACTGCTATAATTCAAAGTACATACAAATACAATTTAATTCTAATTGTGCATAACTTTAAACATGTCTTTAAACATAAGTTTGTAAATTTTATTTATTAATGTTACTAACTTTCATTTTTATCAATAAAATTTTTAAAACATCAACAAAAACTAATCAGTTTCCAAAACAAAGTGACTAAATTTTTACATTTTTAAAAAATCTGATACAAAATACTAAAAAACTCTTCTCACTTGGAAATTGCATCGTATATAATAAATGATAGTCACTCAATTTTTCTCAAGATGTTAAAAAGTAATATATTTTATTAGAATTTATATTATTAGATTTAAAAGTAATCAATTTTAGTAAAACTGATTTTTACTGTACAAATTATACGTATAAAACAAAATATAAAAATAGCAAAATATGTAATGTTGTTTGTCGTATACTTATATTAAAAGAAATATCTTACACCTTATACGTTACTTATATCGAAAAAGAAGTCGGACGAACTTTTCAATGAAACCAGTTAATTTTGTTTCTTCTAAAACTATCACCAGTTATTTTCTATCTATTAAAGGTAATAGCATTTTTTAACTTTCGAAGAATATTTTTACCATAAATCCATGAATATATACATATTTATACCTATTTATACAAAAAAGTGTGTGTTCTTTGTTATTTTGGGGGACTATTAATTTACCATAAATTATTTTTTTGTTTGTTTATATATTGTCGATTGTTTTAATTTATATTACTCTATGCCATTGTAAACTTCGCGAACGATATTTTTTCATATCGCTCAATTTGAATACTGGCGGCATAATATAGTGTTTCTAAAATAAATAAAAACGAAAGCGGACACATAACATAATTAATGAACGCATTTCGCGAAATATATTTGTGCATTCCAATTTTCTCTGACCATTAGAGAGTCGCCAACATATTTAAATAAAAGGATGTAATGGAAGTAAGCAATTAATTTTTACTTCGATTTTAATGAAAATAAATTGTTGAAATGTTTTGAATAAGATTATTATTTGAATAATTATGTATTTGAAAGTATCGTATTGAAAATGTAATTAAAATTACTGCAAGTTTTTAATAAATATTGTTTATTAATGTCAAATGTAAATATATATTCAGATAACAATAAATATTCAATGACATTAAGGAATAGGGAAAAAAAATTTTTAGCGCTGGTTATCAAAAATTAGGTAGGCTTTCTTAAAAAAATCATCAAAAAAAGTTACAAAGTATAATATTAGAACGAATTAAAAATTTCAAAACGATACTTGATATTGGAGTTTTAACAAAAACATACAATTTATTATAGTTTTAATTTAACGTACAATTTTATTATAATCTTGAAGTTCATTTCATTGTATAAAAAAAAACAGTGTGGTAAATAATTTAAATGCATTTTTGCGAAATAATTAAATATTTTTAATTTATTAAATACTTGATATTAATCTAATTTTGCAGTATCGGCAAAATAAACGCAGTAGGGTAGAGGCACTAGTGGCCGAACACTATATTCTTTTTATTATAAGAAATTCGTCATTAAACCTTTCCAAAAATGAAACCCTAAAAAAATTTTTAATGTATTGCACTAATGTTTTTAGACATAACTCAGTTTTATATTCTATGCTCTCAGGAATATAATTATTTATCTAAATTTATATAGGCGTAGTAGTGTGCAAACTACGGCTAATTTTCTACAGCAGGCATGTCAAACACGCGGCCCACAACTCTTGATTCTGCAGCCCGCTACGATTTTTGAAAATTGTGATATTAATTCCTATAATTTTGTTAAAAAGTGTTAAACCAAAGTGAAGGTTCAGCGGAGGGTTTGCCACACATCCAAAGACCAAACATATGCATATGCGAGAAATACACAGTTTCGAGAAGTGGAAAGCGACTATTTTATAAATCAAATATTTATTTATTTGAACCAGTTTGATTTTCTTATATTTGTAAACAGTATGATCTACTGTCTTTAAGTAAATTAGAAATTTTCCGAATATTATAATTAGAATAAATTATTAACAACCGAATCGGAAAGAAGATTTTTAGATTTTAATGGGTGTCAAAATGAATTTAACCATTTACTTTTCCATTTTCTGCTGACATTGAAACACTTGATTCAAATTTACAACAAACATTAACCTGTATTGAAACAAGGGTTAGAAATGTGGAAATTACTAAATTTTATAATTATTTACCCATAAATCAATTAAGCGTGTTTTAGCAAAGTTCGGAAACACATATTTGTGTATGAACAATTGTTTCCCATATTTAGAAATAATAAAATGGCTGAAAGATCATAATTAACAGAACAACATGTTCAATCAATATTAAAAATTACAATTACAAATTAAATTCAACCAAATTTCGAAGATTGAAATAATAGAAAAACGTTGCCAAATTTCTTTGAAAAAATTATTTTATATTTTTTTGTATGACTGTATTGTACGTTTTATATTTTTTTAAGTTGACAATAGAAATCAAACACTCATGTTGTTATTCAAACGTTTTGAGTTTTCCGGCATAAAATCATTTCCAAAAATTGAAATTTCACACTGAAAACCAAAATACTTTTCAATAATAATGAAATTTTTTATTAATAAGAATTTTCTTCGAGTGATGTAACTGACAAAATATGAGTGAAAATTTGAGTATAGTTAGTAGTTTAAGTTTTTTTTTATTGTTCGGGCTGAAGCAATGTGCGAAAACCCAAAATGATGAGTTTGACATGTCTGCTCTACATGTATCTACAAAAGACCATAAAAATGTATTTGACTTTTATTTATAGATTCACTTTTAACAATAACAGTAAATGCTTATTTTGCGATAAGCATTTACTGTTACGATATCGGATAAACATTGCTTTTATTTTCATTTCAACATGTTTTAGTGACGAAAAAAAAAACTAAAATTTCAAGAGAATGTCTATGTTCGGATACTAGAATTAAAGAGTTTGCGACCAAATTTTAGTGCTGAGATAGTGGCATAAATCGTAATTTCTCAAAATTTTATGTACAATAAGGGCATTTCGTAAATTTTTGGGGGCAAATACATATGTATGTAACCTTGAAAATATGTAATTGCCAATTTGAGAAAAATCTTAATGTTTAAATTGTTCGGATACAAGTGCGTCTACCTTATACTTTAAATTCTTTAAGTTTTTTATTCAACGATTATTAAATCATTGTCTTTAATTGAATAAAAATCTAATGTTTTCGACATATTATTGAGTTCAACTACCAAGTTTTTGTGATCTATATCAATATATGTCATTTTGGGTGTTGATTTCAATTTAAATTGTTTCATTATTAAACCTTGTAATGTATTCAATGATAATTTTCTTAAAAGTTTTTTTTCCCAAAGTTCTCCACTTGGTTTATATTGAATTTTAATTTTAATTAAATTAGACAGCTTTTTCTGTGGTTTTATTAAAAATTCTGCCGGAGAACCATACTTTTTTAATAAGTTACCATAATTTCTATATTTTTTTGTAAAGTCCAGCTTTTTTTTCTCGTCGCCTTCACATTGCTGCCATTCTTCTCCATATTTTTTCCATATGTCATATTCAGCACCTTTTCGGCTTTCTCTTTCAATAAAAGTTCTATTCAAGAATTGCAAATTCGATATTAAACCAACAGCCATTGAAAACATTTCATCAAAGCCAGATTTCTTATCTGACGTTTTACAAACACTCGACAAAGATTTTAATTTATCCAATTCATTGAATGTGGAAGCTTCATCTTTTATAGGGTTATGTAAAAGGTTTATTTCTTTTAAATTTTCGAAAATGTTTATCTTCTTTTCTGGATCACACTCTGGTAATTTTATAAATTCTATATTATTTTCCATTAATAATAGAACTTCCAATGAGTTTATATTTCCAAGTTTTAAGATTTCATTAAAATCCGATAGATTTGTTTGATTTAAGTCTAATTTTTTTAAATTTCTAAATATTACATTATTATCTATAGTAGAAATATTAGAAAAATAATTTTCTTGTAAACCTAACGATTCTATATTTGGCCAGAGGTGTGCTATTGTGATTAAGTCATCCCAATTTTTAATACCAAATTTACCCAATACAATTTGTTTTATATTTCTAAAACTTGGTTCTAAGCGATTGATTTCATCTTCCTTCGGCAAAGTGAAACGATTTGAACTCAAATTTATATCTTCTAAACTTGGTACTTGTTTTGCAATATCTGATACAATATTCCAATTCCATATTAAAGTTGAGCTTATATTCAATCCTGACAATCTTTTAAAATTATGTAAATCGCCTGCACAATTGATTGGTGAATTAGAAACACTGATTTCATTTAGTTCTTCAACTTTGCTTTGTTTTTGTGCAATTTTTTCCATACCAACAATTTCAAATACATTTGCATGCAATTGTTTTTGGGCTTCTCGTATTAGCTTCTTATCCAAAGGGTTTTTTTCATCACATAAATATTTTTTTCTAACAGCTTCTTGGAGAGATTCAAATTTTTCAATTTTATGTATTCGTATCATTGACCCTGATGTAGGATATTTTGTACTAAAGTAATAAATACCATTAATAGTACCATCATGTTTTCCTCTACTAAAATTATCCCACTCAATACCAAGCCATATACCATTGTAACCTTGAACGTTTCCAACATATTTTACAGTTCCAAAATCATCATTTACTTTTATTCTACTACCAATTGGAAATTTATATTGATCATCCATTAAACCAACCATTTTATTCATAAAATTTATTTATTTATTGACACTCGAAAAAATCTAATTTAGTCGAACAATTAAAATACAAAAAAGATTAATCTTAAATCCGAAAATAAAATCAAAAAATTCTTATGTTGCTACTCTAATAATTCCAGCAAAACTGACGTATGAAAATGACTTTTCTTTTGACTTTACTTCTAACCAAAAACAGTTTAGCCAACATAGCAGACACGAATAAAGACAATTTTTTCGTTAAATAAAAAACTTTCGTTAAATTTGAAAAAACAAAGCAAGAGACAAGGTTACATTACATTACAATAAAGCAAAAACATATGTACAATTGATTTTCTCTCAGCTATTTTTATAATTAAAAATTATATTCAGTTCCAAAATTTTGAATGTACATTTGAATTAATAAAATTTAAATGCTGTAATTAAGTTATTTGATATGGGGTCATGCGAAATCATTTTTTTCATCTTTCATTGGAATTTAAAATTTGATATTGATGTGGAAATATAAGTGTACACACAAAAAAAAAAAAAAGATTCAGAAATGTCATTTTGCCATAAATTTATTCGCAGTATTAACATTACATTTATAAAATAAGAAGGGTACAGCTTTCGATTTTTTGTTATGCTTGACATACATAAGTTAAAAAGCTGATGATTTTTTCATATTTTGGCTAAAACATAACAATTTTTATATTAAAATGAAATTTGAAGTTTTCTAAGCAACATATCAAAAATTCAAATTTCAACTATAATTTTGATTAAATTCATGTTCAAGTTTTTTCCGTATAGTTTTGATTCAGGCAACATTCTAAGAAAAAACATGACATAAAACAAAGTTAATAAAAATTTTATTAGATTTTAAATTTGTAATCATTAGATTTTAAATTTAAAATATTTTAATTATTTTTATAATGCTTTTGTAGTTTAATAATCATTATAAAAAATGCGTCGTTTCAAGTTGTCCCTTATATAAAAACGAACATGTTACAAATATTATAAAGAAACTTGTACAAGATTTAAAGTTCCTGATACTGTTAAGGTAAATCAGTGAATAAAACGTTTAAATAAAAAGTAATAATTTTTTACTACGAGCATGATATGTAATCAATCTGTAGCATTAAAACAAAACTGAGTTTTCACAGCGCATAATCCTTATACTACATTTCCACTTTCGGTATTATTGTTAAAATTTAAATATCGATATATAAATTTTAACCCAAAAATTATTCTAGACAAATGTAAGGTAGCCACACGAAAATTTGAAAAACGCTCACCATGAAATGTGTTAAAAAATCATGTTTTTTTAAAAACCAATATCACAAAAATATGAAAACTAAAACAAAAATTAATTCTTATTTTGCTAAAACTATAAATACTTTCCTATCTTTTAAGGAATGCTTTCTATTTTTTAAAGCAAACATATGTAAGGTAAGTGTAGCTAATACTGACAGTGGCGGTAATACTGACATATATGAGGTTTTTTATAATTATTAAGAGATTTTCTCTATACAACATATATATATATTTTTATTTCTAGATTAATTCAAATTATCGCAATACTTCCTTTTATTTAGTTTTGAAATAACTCCAAAATATTGAACATAAATCAGTTTTGTTTCCATAGACATAGCAATGGTGGGTTGAATTGGAGAATTTCTTATACTTTTTGCTTAATTTTTCCGATTTTGTTTTTATTGCTTTTTGACTTATTTGAGGGTTAAAAATATATGTATTTATATTAAATTAAATATTTTGATTATTTTTTATCTTATTTTATAAGTAATTCGGAGTAAAAACATTAAATAAATAAGAATTTTAACAAATAATTTCTGTCAGTATTAGAAACATCTAAAATTCGACCATGCTTCTATTACTGACATATGTGTCAGTAATACGTCAAAAATCCGTATTTTTATAAATTACGTCATTTTTAAAATATTTAAATTTTTATTTTCGTACTTATTTAATTAAAATCGAATTTGAATTTTCTTTCTAATGTCCGAATTCTGACACTAAGAATTTACTACAGGTTCGGAGTATTTTACCTTTAAAAACTGGTGTCAGTAATACGATCTAAAGAGGGTCAATATTATGTACAAAATTATGTCAGTATAAAGTTTTAATTTTTATATTCATTTTAATTAATTAAAATAATTTCTTTATACTTTAAAATTGTTTAAACTATTTCAGTCAAATGAAAATCGATTACATTTGTGAAAACCTATATCTGACTACGACCTTTTTACCTTTTTAATAGTGATATTCGTCTAATAAATTGTGTATCAATATTGTATACAATACTGTCAATAAAACAGTACAATTCGGTTTCTAAGAAAATGCTTTAAAATTACTGTAAACGTTAACGTTATAACAAATATCACAACGGAAATGGTTCTCTTTAAATAAGAAAAGTAGTCCTTTTTAATAACCCAAAATGTTGTTCTAAAAATTGAGAATGGGTTGCTTTCGTTACGTACTTAATACATAAATAGTCTTTGTTAAAGCAAAAAGCAGCTTTAGAATAGGCTTATTAGCAGCTTTAGAATATATTGATCTGATTTCTTATAATTTCGTGTGATATGGTACATCATATTTTAGGTATTATTTACATATAAGAATACATTTGTAGCAAATATTACTTATAATACTTTATAAAACATTATGTAATTTCGAATTAGATTTTTATAAATATCTTTTAAAAATTTTTATTTATTCATTGTTGCATATTAAGACTACTAGCAAAAGTACATTCTACAGTAATAATAAATTCAAATCAGCTGAATTTCACATATTTTTACCTTTAATTCAATAAAAAATATGTTTTTTATTTTTGTTTGAATTATAATATGATAAATTTTTAATTTTTTTTTTAAATAAAATGAAATATCCGTAGAAATCCAAATTATTATTCCATTTTTATTGAATATTATCATTTTAACCATTTTAAACTATTATTCATAAGTATATAGAATATGGATTACAGCATATAAAATTACATTGTCAGTATTAGGAACACAAACTGTCAGTAATAGACACAAACATTTGCGGTTATGTCAATATTAGGAACATTTTTGCTCTTCATTTTTAATGGAAAAATTATGAATTAAAAAATATTTTGATTAAATAATTTTATAAAAAACATTATTCTCAATTATCCAAATTATTCAAAAAATCGGAAACACGATCATTTATTGTATCCCACATATAAAATATCTCACGCCAAAGTTGAATTTGTTGCGAAGTATGTCAGTAATAGGGACACTTACCTTATGTATGCACAGCTATTTTTTAAAGCATACATATGTATGTATATACACAGCAAATTTTAATTTTACCATATTGAAAATATGCAATAAATAAAATTAATTGACGTTCAACAAATATCTTTAAAATATTTTACTAATTTTATTGTAAAGAGATTTATTTGTCAACCTATGCATGTACAAATCTCTTTATACAATCAAATTTTCTCAGATGTTTTTCTTTAACTTTTTCATTAAACATCAAGTGTTTATCTTTCTTTTCCACTTGATTCCATTTTCACTTAAGCTAATTAAATTTGCCTTATAGTTTACCTGATGGCTGTGCATTAAAGTGAAAATTTTACATCTTATTATAACCTAAAGCTAAACTTCTCGTTTATCTCATATAATATCTATATATGTAATACGTAAGTATACATGTCTGATTTTATTATGTTTTAAATAATATAAACAGCCCCTCATGAATTTCGTTCGAAATCCCGAAATTCGGAAAATTACGAAATTCATATTCTAAATTCCGAATTAAGTACTAAAATTCTACTACGAATATTAGTAATAGAGTAATCATAAATCAGGTTTGTAGTAAAAATAACCCTACGAAAGAAATAATCCTCGTAACAAGCAATTTAATGAGAATGTTTGTTTTAAATTTCAAAGTTTTCAAATTTTTTGTTTAGATTTGAGTTCTTCTAACAAGGCTACTATGAAAAGAAATGAATTCATACTTGCTACAAAAAATTTTTTTCACTTTTCAAAAACAGTCAAAAACTAAAAAAAACTAAAAATATCCTTTTTTACGAAAATTGTGTGCTCAAATAGCAACAAAAAACATAAATAAACATTTGACGGTTGAAATAAATGGCGGTTGAAATGATTTTGACCCTCCGAAAAATTGTGTGCCATTGCTGATTCATAATCTCTACAAAAAGAATTTGTCATCATTTAAAAGTCTACGTCGTAGCTAAGTTGGTAATTCGTAGAATTCTACGAGTGGAATTCATGACAGAGCTGAAAATTTTTCAATTTATTAATTTTTTTAACAGTCTGCGATAGAAGAATATAGCATTTTCAGATTAAATTAACCTCTTTGCGAATTAAATTAACCTTTTTGCGAGTGGAATTAACCCTTTTGCGAATTGAATTAAACCATTTGCGAATTGAATTAATCGTTTTACGAAATAAATTAAACTTTTTTCTTTTTAAATTAAACCTTTTTCAAATAAAATTAAACCTAAAAAAAGATGTGAAAATCATGAAAATGAAAATCAATAAAATTTAAACGACTTATTAAAAAAATCATGTTTTTCATATTTTTACACGTAATATCATACGATTATGTGTATATATATATATATGGGGACATAGGTATGTATGTAATTAAATTATGTATGTATGTAATTTAAATTTTACATTTATTTTTGCAAAAAATAAAAAATAATTAATATCCATAATTTTACATTGTGATTAAAATGCATTAATGTAAAGTTTATATTTCAAAGCTTTCATTATATGAATTTCTGATTTGAAAAGTTGGAAATGGACACGAATAATCTACTCTAACCTCTCTAAAATAAGATAATCGTAAAACCTTTTTAATTTTGATATGAAAAGAGATCATATTAACTAAAGTACTTATTGGAAAAATCAGAATTTATATAATGAATTTCTCAGAATTTATAAAATAACTTTTCCAATAAGTACTTTAGTTAATATGATCTCTTTTCACATCAAAATTAAAAAGGTTTTACGATTATCTTATTTTAGAGAGGTTAGAGTAGATTATTCGTGTCTATTTTCAACTTTTCAAATCAGAAATTCATATAATGAAAGCTTTTAAATAAGTAAACTTTACATTAATGCAT